ATACACACTCTGTAAGTTAATCGACCATTTCAAAATATAAAACTGTTGAAGGCTAGTGTTGGGATCATTAAAAACCAGTGTGATTAGTTGGTGTTTATTCTCTTAAAGGAGACATATTATACCCTATTTCAACAAGTTAAGCTAGTTCCCTGGTTAAGCTAGCTCAGAGTACTGGAATGGAAATAGTTTTGCAGATAGGAGTTTGTGCTCTAAGGTTAAATTTACAGTAAACATACACACTCTGTAAGTTAATCGACCATTTTAAAATATAAAACTGTTAAAGGCTAGTGTTGGGTTCATTAAAAACCAGTGTGATTACTTGGTGTTTATTCTCTTAAAGGAGTCATATTATAGCCTATTTCAACAAGTTAAGCTAGTTCCCCGGTTAAGCTAGCTCACAGTACAGGAATGGAAATAGTTTTGCAGATAGGAGTTTGTGCTCTAAGGTTAAATTTACAGTAAACATACACACTCTGTAAGTTAATCGACCATTTTAAAATATAAAACTGTTAAAGGCTAGTGTTGGGTTCATTAAAAACCAGTGTGATTACTTGGTGTTTATTCTCTTAAAGGAGTCATATTATAGCCTATTTCAACAAGTTAAGCTAGTTCCCCGGTTAAGCTAGCTCAGAATACTGGAATGGAAATAGTTTTGCAGATAGGAGTTTGTGCTCTAAGGTTAAATTTACAGTATACATACACACTCTGTAAGTTAATCGACCATTTCAAAATATAAAACTGTTGAAGGCTAGTGTTGGGATCATTAAAAACCAGTGTGATTACTTGGTGTTTATTCTCTTAAAGGAGTCATATTATAGCCTATTTCAACAAGTTAAGCTAGTTCCCCGGTTAAGCTAGCTCAGAATACTGGAATGGAAATAGTTTTGCAGATAGGAGTTTGTGCTCTAAGGTTAAATTTACAGTATACATACACATTCTGTGACTTAATCGACCATTTTAAAATATAAAACTGTTAAAGGCTAGTGTTGGGTTCATTAAAAACCAGTGTGATTAGTTGGTGTTTATTCTCTTAAAGGAGTCATATTATAGCCTATTTCAACAAGTTAAGTTAGTTCCCCGGTGTCCTAATGTAATGTCTGTGACAAGCTTTGGTCAGAATCCCATAAGGATGAAGCCCAATAGCAGTTGGGTTGATTTTCCAAGAGCCACAGAATAGTTTGTGCTATGACTATGTAAACACCGAACACACCG